GAATTTAATTTAGACAACATCATGTAACTAGCCTGGTAAAGAAGTAAAAGCCATAGACTTCATTATTTAGGTCATTATGGGGATATACATTTCATCTAAATTCATAATAGAAAGACATTTGATGACAGTTTGTTGGAATTCTGTATTCATTTTTTCAGCGTGATAATATCTAAGCACTGACAGGTAAAAGCAGTATCACCAGGAAATCATTCACTTTGTTAGTATCATGATTTTGGTTGTTTTTGAATCCATAACATTAGTGTGTTTCTTTACCAGAAACATTAGCAGTTCATATTATATTTGGATTTTAAATAGGATCTCAAGGATTTCATTTAAAAATAAACACAGATGCTTGTCAGAAATTCAGAGCTATTGAAATATGTTATTTAGTTTACCTAAAGATGTTGGGGTTCTTATTTAGTTGGCACAGTCCAAGTATTAAGATTCTGAAGCTGCACTGGCAGATAGGAGGTCTACAATTAATTTAGAAAACCTGTTCACAGACGTCTGTTGTTTCAAGACACCCCACCAACAGGCTCCAAGTGGGTCAAAACAGCTGAGCGTAGGCTTGAGGGATTTGTATCAGATTTCTCCACACAGGTTGCTGGCGCCAAAAGGGGGACCCAGGAGGCCGACACAGCAGAGTTCGTCTGGCTGAAGGTCATCAGGACAAAGTGGCTCAACCCCAGGCTCTCCGGACCCGACCGAGTGACCCAGCGGACCTCTCATGCCGTCTGCCTAGGAGAAAAGGGGGACAGCTCGTACCACGGGAGCCAGTGTGCGGCGGGGAAACCACCTACTAGGACCAGGGGACGACATCAGGACGGATCTGGCTCTCGTCAAGGAGGTCGACTTGGAAGCTGTCATCGGCGGACCGGAGAAGGAGGATCGGGAGGACATCTCTCCAGCAGTCGACCCGGGAGGCGTCATCAGCGGGCCGGAGAAGGAGGATCGGGAAGACATCTCTCTAGCAGGCAGCCCAGAAGCTGCCGTCAGCGGATCGGGGGGACAAAGACACAGCAAGCCAGGACGGCACAGGGGACTTGTCGAGGCAGCAGAGGAGTCTACTTCTGTCTGATCAGTTCCACCCGCGAAGGGAAAGCCGCATCTCCCCCTCCCTATTCGCTGTCCTTGAGGGCTATTCCTCCGAGGGGGGGGGGGGGGGGCTGATGATTCTAGCACTCAGCTGCCCCCTCATGGTTCCTTCACTGCCATGGAAAGTGGTGTTCTGTTCCCAAAGATTTCAAGTACTTTGGGTCTCAGCTTCGGATGGATTTATACAATGTTTGGGGGATGGACACAGTAGAAAAGAATGACAGTGGGTATGTTTCAAAATGCCTTGTTTAAGTTTATCTCTGGAGAAAGAGATAAAAAGGGGGAATTGTGGAGATTGATGTAAAGTATTATGGCAAAAAGTTTGATACAGCGTAATTCTGGTATATTCATTTGTATGTCACCTGATATAGGCTATGGGATGTTAAGTGTTAGTTTGTGAGAGAAATGTATGTGCGTTCATTTCAAGACTCCTAAAAGAGCAGGAGAATTAAGTCACACACAATTAGAGAGACAATGGTCCTTCTAATTCTGGGTGAGCTGACTTCGGGTGGATGGAAGTTCAGAGATGGCCTGGGGGTATGAAGACAGTTAGGCGTTGTTGGTGAGCAGGTCCTGAGGAGGTCATGAGATGATGACTGTTACATTTCCAACAAGTATGGCTTTCATAAAGAAACACATATGACTTATGTGATAAGATACATGATAAGATGTGTTTTGTTGCAAAGTGAGCCTGTTTTGTTTTCTGCTGGCCCGCGCTGATTCACTGTGACACAGCATATTTTGCATCTCCCAATGAGATGACCTGAAAAGATGACCAGCTGACCTAACCCCTCCTGTTTTTTCTTGTATATCTCCTGTGGAGTCCTGGCGTTCGCTCTCTCTTCTCGGGCTGCCAGGACCGAAGGATCTACGCAGCACGCGAACCAGGGCAGGAGTGGGCCTACTCCTTACATTACAGTATAATTGTATTGTATTATATTGTATTGTAATGTATTATATTGCATTGCATTATTACCTTTTATAATTAAAACAGATTATTGTTTAAACTGGTATCCTGGTGTTCTCTGATTTCCTTCCTGTTATGATTTTAAGCAGGACTCGCCAAAACGACACGCGGAGCCGAGTGGGGTTGTAAAAACCTCAAAACTCTAACATGGTCAAATAAGAAAAAGGCCTGATCGGTGGCAGACAAACGGCGCGCTCTCATGCAAACCTGAATTTCATCAATCCAATCATTCAAACCTATGCCTGACCTCCCTATAAACATGGGACATTTTCGGTCTCGGGGCACAAAAACCAGTCTCTCCGCTAAAGGGGCACTAGCACTGGAAGGATCAGAAGGTGGCAGAGCAGCAGGGAGAGGAGCAGCACTAGGGCCAGGCACGGCCGCAGCCTGTTCATGCCGCATCCTCTCATTGTCTGCTCTCAATTGAGCGACTAAATCCCTCAATTCTTGCATTTCTCCCTCCATAGCTACACCTTTACCAATAAAAGTGGAGAAAAGGCTATGAATGTGGACAGGAAAACAATGTAACTCACTACAGATTCACAAGAAACCAACTGCTGTTTTGCCTCTGAACACAATATAAAACAATTACTGCCTGCCTAACAATAATTTTTAGCAATGGCCATAATAGGAGAAAACAAAGAAGATTGGAACACACGTCTCGGCCCTCAAACAGTAAATCCTGCCGACAACGCCAGTTTGTGGCGGCACGTGGGGGGTGTTTGTTGGAAATCCTATTCAACTAAAAGCCAGACAACGCCACCTTGGGAATTGCACCCAAGGAAATAATTATTCCAAGTACCAACAAGGCACTCAGGTTCGTGATAAAGAGGGGCAGGAGACGTGGTTCCAATTTATCAAATGTTTTATTTCTGGCATTAAAATATCATTAAAAACACCATAAAATCATTATACACACTGAAAATAAAAGGGGGGGACTCTTAATTCAGGGATGCTGAGGCTTACCAGTGGATGGAGGTGACGAGGGGTGAGAGGGATCCCAACAAAGTAAATTAAGGCAACCGTGATCACTACACACTCACACAAAGGAACACAAATCAGGGGGAGCACAGCACGACACACAAAGGGGGAAGCCACCACCGGGGACACCAGCACCACACCTTTGGCTCTCAGCAACTAAGAGGGGCAAACAAGAAACAATTACTGGGATAAACAGTAAACACAAATTAATACACAGACCAACACATAAGATAAGTATAAGACAATAAAAAGTCAAGAATACTACAAAATACTGATTTCAAGTAACTGATATTAACTGAAATAAACAAAACAAATTTAAAGCAACAGGGTCGAAAACTAAACCAAAGAAACGAAAATCAACCTAACAGTCTACTTAATCTTGAATTAAATAAACAAAACAAACTTAACTCAATGCAATAACTGATCATGAACAGAGATTAATCGAACAGTCCGCGATAACAATGTTTAAAATATGGCCCTGTAATGAAGAGCAAAGGCACAGTGATACCAAGAGGCTGGTACAGACAATGTAGGCCAAGAGCAACACCCGCCAGACAGTAGTGTAGCGGTGAAGCACAGTAGGGCAGGCAAGCCGGCTGTGCAGACAGACACAGCCTTGAGGGTAGACCAGCAGTCCAGGCAACAGTCAGGCAGACAAGACACTCGTAAACTTAGAGCAGTCGTGGATGCAACACAGACGTGGAGGCAAAACAGCAGTCCTTTATCACGCTTCCAGCGCAGAGCCTAGCAGACATTAAGTTTAAGGTGATGTTACGATAACAATACTAGGTTAAGAACATTCAGGAAGAATGATACTAGCAGAAGGTCTACCTACCGATCAGGCCAAGTTCAGACAAACACACAGCAGGGGAGCTTCATTTACAGCGGCAGCAGACATGGGCTGCAGGATCCCTGCAAGGGTCTACAACCAGCGATACATTTAGTATTTAGGCTAATTGTCATGCTAGGTGTACAACAAACGGCAGCCACTGCAAACTGGAGGGTGGGGCTGGAGCTATTGGAGCTACAACGAGCCGTTAAAGGCAGAGAGTGAAATTCAGTGAATACACGTAGTTTACAGAGATGCTGTTTGAGAAACCAATGTGAGTTGCGTTTATCTTTACCCATGGATGCACAATAAGAAAGGATCCATATCGTCTTACTGCCATCCCACGGAGCTGTAATAATGGATATATTGCACATGTTTGCTGTAATTCATTATCATACTACATGGGCTGTATGATTAAATCTTGTACCGTAAATGTTGTATTAAATAAAGTTAATATTACCGACATTATTAACATCCCTGTAGCTTCGTATTACACTAAGAAGCTTATTGCACTGTATATAAATATATATATATAGGCTACAGTGCAATAATTATTTCATGCTAAATGAAGCTCTGTTGGATATCACTAGATCCTGTTACAGCGTAATATAAGTAGGCTACATAACGATTGATGTGTACATTAGCATCATTACTAGCTAGCCGCTAGCTAATATCTGCCGCCTCGTTAATATAAAATCCATGATAACAACAATCCATTACCATGCTGTCATGAACGCGCGGTGCTGTTACGTGTACGCAAATTGACGTGCTTGATGTGAACGAGCATTTTGGTTAAAGTTGCGCATGCTCTATGAGTGCACATACGGGTACTTCTCAGGCATGCTGGGTAATCTGTGACGTTTCACTCTCTCAAAAGTTGAGCCATTTTATCATCATGCGCTAATGAGCAGCTCTCATAGGAATGAATAAGGCCCCGCCTCCCACCCTGTATCCAGTTCTTATTATACATCCATGGTGCCAGCGGAGAAAGCACGTCAGCGGAACCCGGAAGTGGCCTTCGTGCCAAAGAGCAAGAGGGAGCAAGAGCGACACTGACCCCTCTTTATAAAGGTTGCCCCGTGTGTGGTGATAGGGCTGAACAGTCTATCCTGCTACAATAGGCTACATCACATGCACTAGGGTCTGAGACGTACTTCCGCCTTAGCCGTTATACTGCTCGGACGCTTCCGGGTTGCTTCTGGTCTGCGTAGCTGAGCGTCCACAAATGTTTTACTGTTTAAATCTGTGGTTTAAATATGAGTCGACGGAAGATTTTCAAAACGGAGCATTTGCAAAGACAAGTAAAAAACTACTCCGAGCACTGCTGTGTCCCACTTTGTACGGCGTCAGCTAAATTCAACGGCGTCCTAAGTTTCCATGGCTTTCCGACCGAACTCGAGCTGCGAAGACAGTGGCTGGTTAAAATACGACGCGATAAGTTTACAATCTCCTCTCACTCCAAGGTCTGCAGTCGTCACTTCGCTACGGATCAACTAATAGAGCCAAAAACCCTTGATGGCCGTAGGAGGTTTGTGAAAGGTGCTGTCCCAACTCTGTTTGAGTGGAATCACTTCACTGCTCAAACACCGCGGGCTAGTGTTTGGGAGAGAAGGGAGCGGCCCACTGAACCAGTCTCTCGGGAGGAGCAGGAAGAGCACATCGATGTCCGTGACCATGATTACTGCTCAACCCCTGAACCAGCTTCACTGGACATGTCCTCTCAAGCTACAGAAGACAACTCCAAAACATTGGAGGATCTGCAGAAGCAACTGCAGGAGTTAAGAGTCCAGCGAGAGTTTTGCTTACAGCGGTTTGCTGGCTCCGACGACAACATCCGATTCTATACCAGGTAATGTTTTGGCTAAATTCTATCCAAGTTTTTGAGATGGGTTAGCTTATAAAGAATCCTGTTTACCTGCCGTTTGACTGCTGACTATTTGCATGCAGTGTTGGAATAAGTAGGCTACTCAACTTAGCTGAAGTATAAGTACAAATACTATGGTTTGAAAATACTCCTGAACTGAACATGTAGAATCATAAATCATGTGTTTTCATAAGTAACTAGAAACTATGAAGGTTAACTAAATGTGGTGGAGTAAAACATACTAATACTAACAACATACTGATAATACTTTACTACAAGTGGAAATCTTCAAAACCTTACCAAAGTAAAAGTACATGTCAATATCCACTGCGTTTCTCCCAGTTGCACACTTAAGAATGAAGAGTAAAAGTAGTCATTCTGTGTAAAATGTTCCCTGTATGTTTTAGATTATTATTACTGCTGCTTTAATGTAGTTGTTACATGTTACTGCTGTATATTACTATACCTGCACCAAGTGCCTTCTTAATCAGTCTATTTGAATTGTAATGTATTATAGCAAACAAGAGGAAAGCATTAGCCCATGTGTTACAGTTAACGAGTCAATTAATGACTGACATGTGTCTTTTGTGTACAGATTCCTGAGCTATAACCACCTGATGGCCTTCTGGTTTTTGATTGAGCCTTCCATTTATAAAATGGTTCGTGTTACAAGAGCGATATCAGCTGCCAAGAGGAATGAAGAAGTGGTTACACACGCACGTCCATCAACTGTAGGCTACGTTTATTTTAACACACAATCTAAACACAAACTGAAGGGAAAATGTTTCTCCGACATTTCATTGCTTTCGTGTAGGCTAAAAGGCTATAGTACTCAATCCTTTTTGAATACATCAGAGAACTAAAACAACTTAATGTTTTTCCCATGGTGTGCTACACTCATGACATTAATATAGTACCCTTTTTTTGTTTATCTTCCAGAGACAGCTGCTTCAGCCAATTGACGAGTTCTTCCTTTTTCTCTGCTTCCTGTCGGTGGGTTTGAAAGAGAGGGACCTTGCAAACCGCTTCAACGTACACCAGTCCACTGTGAGCCGCATCATTGCAACATGGACGAGTTTTCTTACAACTTTATTGGGGTCACAGTGCATCTGGCTTACACCTGCAGAAGTTCAAGCCCACCTCCCAGAGGCATTCAAAGATTTCCCAGACACACAGGTGATCCTGGATTGCACAGAGCTGAGGTGTCAAACACCATCCTCACTCCTCCTCCAAAGTGAAATGTATTCTACATACAAATCTCACTGCACCATGAAAGCCCTGGTTGGCATAGCCCCACATGGCGCAGTGACATTTGTTTCCAGTCTGTATGGTGGTTCTGTCAGCGACAAGGAGATTTTCAAACAATCTGGAATAGCTGCGTTGTTGACTGAAAACATGGCAGTGATGGTAGATAAGGGCTTCCTAATCAGCGATTGCTGCAAATGCAAAGTGTACTGCCCACCTTTTCTGTCAAAGCAGAAGCAAATGCCAGCCTATCAGGTGAGGGAGACACAGGCCATTGCCAGACTGAGGGTTCATGTGGAGCGTGTCATTAGGAGGATAAAAGAGAACAAACTTTTTGATGGTGTCATCCTCCTGTCCCATGCCTACATCAACCAACTGTTTGCAGTAGCATGTATGCTGTCAAACTATCAGAACAAAGCACTGGTCAAGAAATGGGTGAAATAAGACAAGATGATGACACCTGTGCAGGTAGCTGTGATTAAGCTGGGTGAGCACACCGTAATCCCGTGTTGCATGACACACGCTAGTGTTTTGTTTGAATAAATGGTAAATAGCAAATTACAATGCGTTGATGATTTCTTACAAATGCAATGATTTACTATTCATTACACAAATCACTTCACTTTATTGTCTTTTTAAATACAATTGTATATTTATTTACATATATGAAATGTGACAAACAATATATATCAAAAACAAAATATTGAAATCACATTTTATTGTCATTCAGAACACATGATTGAGGGATTGCCTCCTAAAAACAATGACGGCTGATCCAGGGTCTAGCAGCTAACTGCTTACAGAGTTAACAATGGCTACAGTGCCCACTACTTTTTTTAATGACAGGTACTTCGGCATGTATGTGTAAAAAAAAAAAGTCTACTTTGTCTCTGATTGCTCTTTGCACTTCTGGATCTGTGTATATTCTTTGCACCAGGTAGTCCTCTTGTGCCCACACTAAAAAATCACACCACTGCATCCCAGATACAAGAAGTTGACCCTGTACTTGCCAGTAATAGGCATGGCTTTTCTTGAGCTTAGGGGAGCCACATTCTATCTGCACATATTTGCAGTAGACATAATTTGGGACATTGGGACATTTGAATTCAACAAGGCCAAATTGGGGATATTCTGTTGGGTCAAAAACAACTCCATCAGGGGAGGCACCAAGCCAGGGCGTAGAGGGGTGAATGACAAGGCCACAAGGGGAGTAGTTCACGTTTGCCAGTCTACTGTATTCAGCTGCTACTGTGGGCTCCATCTCGGCACCTCTCCTCATTTCTGCAGTCTGCCTTGTACCTTTGAGTATTCGCTCTGCAAGAGAGTTAGCAGAGCTCTCACCTCTGACGTGACAAATCTCTCTAAACCTAGAGGCAGTAACCCTGGGTTTGCGGAGCAGATGCCACTCTGAGCTAGAGCTTTGCTCACGGGTAGCCTCCTCAATTTTGTGAGACATTTCCAAATCAACAGATAAGCTGTTCATATGTAGTTGCTCCTCTTCTGAGCACACCAGCGGTAAATCACATGGCAAGATCACATACCCCTCCCTCTATGGGAAAGTGGGGTGTTGGTGGTGTGTCAGTGTGAAGTGTGGTGTACCGAGACGTCAAAGCAGGCATCTGATAGGACAGAACACTGCCCTCCTGCACAATCCCGAAGGCACTTTCCACAAGGGGCTTGTCAGGTCTCATGTTCATTGTGGTCACAAGCGGCCTGTCTTCAATGCTGAATGCTGAGTATGCCTCCGTAACTCTGAACAGGCAGGGATCTGGTAATGGCCCCACCATGCCTCTGTAGAATCCACTCCTACAAAGAATGGCAAAGACAATATAGCACATTAATGTGACAATAAAGGTTAGGAATACAGCACCAGAATTATGAATTTTAAAAATACAGGAAACACAATTTTCCAGCTAAAATTACCTTACTCCAGTCTGCACCATCCTATTTGGTACAGGCTTGGTGAAGACCATGGAGTTGATGGGCCCTGGCTTCACACCCTTAAGGAAAAGACAATTACTGTTCGTTGAGTCACTTTAAAACAAAAACTCTGAAAGATTACAAGTATTTGAACCTCATTGAAATTACCATTGTTCGCGGCTTGTGCCATTGCTGTTCCGATTCAGTACAGCTATGCACAGGTGGCACAACTGGCATGTTCAGTTCAGTGTAGTGTGCTGTTTGGAACAGCAATGCTACTGTGTGATTGCACAAAACAGTTCCTGCAACACAGGAGCACTGGTTGTGCGTGAGCACCACTGGTGATGAATCACGAAGCATTATCTAAAACAGAGAGAAGAAATACTAGTGATTAGTAACCTCACTTGTTACTCTGAGCCAGGAGGTTATTATGAGTAGAATTATTGGTTATTTTTACTGACCCATTATCCTAGAAGAAGCATGTATTCCTGAATGCTTAGTGTTACCCTCTTACCCTACAATACCACAATGAACTTTCTTTGGAAACTAAGATGCCTTGAAAATTGTATTAAAGCAGTTTTGACTATATATTTTAACCCCCAAACTAACACATCCATAATCAATGTAATAATATCTGACCAATCAGCTGTAATAAAGCAGGGAGAAGTAGGACACTGTTGAGATTCCCTTAAGGTAAACTAATGTTTAACTGAACTGAAACTCAATAAACAGGGGGGAACAGTGTCAATGCTGCCTGCCTACACTCAAACTGTGTGCTGTCTCGCTCTTCCGCATTGACCTGTAGCACAAGGCTCTCACGCTGACCTGCCCTGTCAGCCTGTCTTTATTGGACACTGAATGAAGAAAAACAGAGCAACAGCGTTAGATCTATACTCACGTCAAAACATCTATGGCAACATTGCTTTATACCGTTATGCAGTGTGGCTAACAACAAGACAACCTTGGCTAGGCTATAAGGCTATTAAACGATATTATTTGTTAGCAAAATGGCTAATGTTTTAAATAATTAACACCAGAAACAGTACATAGCGTTACCCAGAGCCCTATAGTAGTCTACTATAGTAGTAGTATAATAATAATAATAATAATAGTAGTTATACTATAGGGCTCTGGCGTTACCTAGCTTTTGACAGCTAATGTTAGCGTAACCCAGAGCATAAGCTAGCTGGTTAGTACCGGTTACCTTCTTACCTTCATAGCAGGGTTTCCGTTAGCCGGTAATTACCGGTTTTTAGCTGGTAAAATTTATTAAAAACCGGTAAATTCAAAACCTGCCGGTCAAAATGTCTGGTAATAATTAGGAAGGCTCCGATAGATCAGCCACCGGTCATTATCGGCCGATATTCACTCTTAATAGTTTGATCGGTGCTCTATATAAAGAACGATCAGGAGAGCTGGATCTGATCGATATGGACATAAACGCGAGTGAAGTATAACCGGATACGCGAGAGAGATCAGATCAGCTGCTGAGTCAGACCGAGACACGCAGCTCTGCATAATCACCTGAAGCCCCGCCCTCTGTTTAGCGAGCTGCAGGAGCTGCATGAGAAACTGACGGGCTGTCAGGAGAGAGGGAGGGAGAGGGGAAAAGAGAGGATCCGTTTCTCCCGTGTTATTATTTAAAGTTAATGTAAACTTTTGAATAATGTACGTTATCTAGGCTACTACACGTAGTTTGTTTGAATGTAATAATTATGTTGTTTGTTGTTGGTGGAATCATTTATTGAAAAATGGATCTGAATTTTTCGATCTGTTACGATTATAGACTGAAGCAATATAAAAATGAGCCCCATGAACTGAGTTTTAAACTGAAGCATATCTGCTCATAGTCCGGTAATTACCTGCTAACGGAAACTCTGCTACACAACTCTTACTATTATTATTGAAACGTGACCGGTAAGTTTCAAATTTGTCCGGTAAAATAAATTCTGCCCGGACATTTGACCGGCGAGAAAAAATCCTAGCGGAAACCCTGCTTCATAGTTGTGTATATATGACGCAGCATATAATTTGAAGCCTTTATCGAGTTTGCTGGCTGGGGCTTTAGTCGTCCGGCAAATCCGATGAACATCTGACATTTTTAATTTCGGAAGCTCTTGTAGGCAGCGGGTGTAGAAGGTCGTCATTTTCAAACAGGAAATGAATCGGCCGCTATGAGTAGAATGCGGAAGTGACTGTGCATGTAGCCTATAGGAAGTGTTTCGGCGGGCGTGCATAGATGAGAGTAACACCTACGTCACTTCCGGGCAAAAATTACGGCCCCGCCCACTTTTGGGGGAAAACAACGCTGTCATTTGAATGGCGGTCAATACAAATTCTGAAGTTTTTGCCAATCCGATCACATTTTTTGGAAAACCGTGGATTTTGGGTTACATTCGATCATTGGTAATCGACAATCGGTCTTGATATATGGTTAAATTAAAATCAGTAGGCGAGGCTGTAATTTCTCCAGCTGTTACTCTCATGAGCAAGGCGGAACATAATAGTTTTATCATGCCAAAAAGCTGCTGTGTCGTTTATTGCACCTCAAACATTAAAAATAATCAAGAGTTCAGTGTTTCTGTACTTCCTCTAAGAACAAAGGACAGTAAAAGAAGAGCTCTGTGGCTTCAGGCTCGATCGCCATTCAAATGACAGCGTTGTTTCCCCCAAAAGTGGGCGGGGCCGTAAAGTGACGTAGATGTTACTCTCATCTATGAAAATCGATAGCCTACTGCTATATTTAACCATATATCGAGCCCGATCGTCGATTTATAATGGCTTAATGCAATTGTTTGCCCGTCTGGCCATTGGAATCGGGCTCTTTGAAGATCCAAAAATCTCCGGTTTTCTTAAATTTCTGATCGGATTGGCAAAAACTTCAGAATTTGTATTGACCGCCATGCAAATGACAGCGTTGTTTTCCCCCAAAAGTGGGCGGAGCCGTTATTTTTGCCCGGAAGTGATGCATTTGTTACTCTCATCTATGATTTAGGCAGTTTGTTCCAAATTGTTGGGGCATAATAACTAAAAGCTGCTTTTCCATGTTTAGTGGTTATTCTCGAAACAGAGAGCAGACCCGACCCAGAAGACCTGAGACTCGAATGCTTCATAGTGATGGAGGAGGTCGTCATTTAGTGATTTAAAAACTAGCAGTAGTATTTTAAAATCAATTCTTTGGCAGACTGGAAGCCAGTGTAATGATCTCAGAACCGGAGTGATGTGATCCACTTTTCTAGTGTCAGTGCCACTATTATGAGCCACTTTTCTTTCTATATTGTAGCCTGATGTGCACATCGACTGTCAACAAAACAGTTTCTCAGTCCAATGCTAAGTTAGTGGCAGGCCCTGTGTGACTGGAGACTATAATGGCGCGTTTCCACTGCAGGCCTCGCTCGGTTTGGTTAGGCCTTATTAGGCCCGGCTCACTTTAATGCTGTGCTTCCATTACAGTTTAGGAACTGGGGCAGTTACTATAGTAACGCAGTGTAGGCGGAGCCGTGACGTCATCTTCAATGAGAGCCCCAGAAAAACAACACAGCCGTTAGCTCTTAGCACTCAGAGCTCACAGCTCCTCATATCTGTTCAGAAACTAGACAAAAGTTAAACAAGTACAAACCACAGACTACCTGTGTCATG